TTGGCTGTTTTCACACACTATGCATTTAGCAGGTTTCTGGTCTCTACATTTTTGTTTTTATGAGCCCTCCCTAACATCCAGTTATGGTGACAAATATTTCCACAGTCTCTCACATAATAAGTCACGTGACCACAAACAAGAATAAAACATCTATAGAAATTTATAATCCTTGCCCGTACATTCATAGACGCGTCAATGAACTCTCATGAGCACTATGAAAGTATTTATAACCTTGATTTCCACAGAAATTACTAAATTGATCGCTATAAAAGGCACTGACATATCGATGAAAAATATTGCTCACTGATCAGCACAGTAACTTTGCTCATAAATTGTTTTATCAAACACATACATGTATATATCATACCATTAATTTGATTCGATTATCGACACTAGCCAAGTAATTTGTATATTTTGTTTGTATTCTAGTCGCAAGGAGCTGCTACGACTGTATATTGCGCCACAGCGAGAGAGCTGGATTGTGTTGGTGGATTATATTTTAACAATTGCTGTCGGTGTGTGCCGTCGGATGAATCAATGAATGAAGGAACTGCTATGGAATTGTGGGAAATAAGTGAGAGGATGATTAAAGAAAGTCTAAGTAAACATAATTTGTGATGGATAACATCAACATTTTTCTTCAATGCAGTATGTATTCAGTGAGATTACACCACTGAATAATGAATATATTGCGTTATCTTCACCATCCATGGTTATGTTTACTCTGCCATTACTTTGCTGATTCCATTCAACAAGTGCGCCCTCGTTGGAAGTTCAACATTCCACCATTTTGTTTCATATCCATTAACTTCCATGTGCTCGGGCAACTCGTGTTTTAGCAGTATATTTTTTAGAGGTCAAATAAGTGACTATCTACAGAGAATGTTTACAACGCGTTTGAGAAACAGTGTGATTTGGACGATACGTTGCATGATTAGGCAAAAAAAAAACTTATGTTGCCCTCAAGTCGGAAAATTGAAAAACTGGGTCGATCGGTCGGATTTTTTTTTTCAACTCATGAAAACTAAGGGTATTGTAAATAGCTGAGGTATATGGAAAAAAACGCGACCTGTTATTTCATATTTTGCGGTCGATCACTGAGGGCAACAAAACAAATCTTTTTTTTTGGCCTTATGGATGGTGCTTGGTAGGTGCATCCACCTGAGGGGAGTTGACTGTATTGAATCACTGAAGATCATTGATGGTGTTGGCTGGGTTAAACCACCAAGGATACTTGGTTAGCTTGGCTTGTGTTCGATTACTATATATTCTAAGAGGAGGTGACTAGATTGAATCACTGAAGATCATTGATGGTGTTGGCTGGGTTGAACCACCAAGGATACTTACCAAGGATAATTGCATTACTATATATCCTAGGAGGAGGTGACTAGATTGAATCATCATACAAAATAGTGTACGGGGTTGGCTGTTAGGAATAGAAACCTTGAACAAACTTTCATGAGGGTTGTATACGTTTATTGACCTTTGCCCAAAACATCTAGCTATTTTGAATAATTACCAAATACCAAATATTGCCTGCCTCATATGGTTTGAGTGGGTTGTTTTACTGAAGATTAATGTTGATGTTTAGTTGGTGGGAAATGGGTATAACTTATAGTTCATCTATCACAACTTAATTCTCTTATTCTTATAAAATTCACTCTTACCTTCTTTTCCTTGTATTTATTTACAAATCTTTTTTTTATCTGGAGATATATCACTTCACATTGTGTACATTTCAGTGCACTGATACACTGTATTTTTATATTGTTTGCAAATAAACGAGTACAACAATAGAAATAATCAGAACAAGAGAAATGTAAATAGTTTAATTTTATTTAAATAATTTGGTGTGCAGTGTTGTCAATTAATTCATATACTGATACCGTGTATGTGATTTTACCGTGAATACATTTATCAATGTTCAAAATTGATTGGCCCGCTGCATTGCATCTCAGCAACCTTACTGAGTATTGATTATTTTTGAATAAAACTATTAATTGTTCATTTTTCTGTGTTTGATTTTGTTTGTGTTCGAAAAATGAAAGTGAACCCCCGCCCCTTATCTATGTTATATTGGTTAATATATTGGTATTGATTATAGTCCAAAAAGATAAATTTCTCGAGCATGTCTGGACCAAATTTTTTCAAACTTTGTGTGAACATACACAGGTGTTGTGAATCATATACAACTTAAAAATTACGAAAATAAGATTTAAAAAAAAATTCTGTAACATCGACGAGCCATTTTTCAAAATTTGCATTGAATAATGTCAACATGTTGGTAGGTGAGGGGGTCGTCAAACTCTGAAGGGTAAGGACGGCCACCTTATCTGATTCACAAATATGAACGAAATGCTCATAAATTTGCATTTACCGGTATTATATGCTGGATCCTTAAAATATGATTTATTTCGACAATAGACATGTCTCTGTCACTTAAACAAGTGTATGTACTACTAATAAACGTAATATTTATATTTCCTGGAATGTTGACAAGACCACAATACTATCACGTTCAGTGTTCATTATAGTAAATGTAATAGTTTTTCGTTGTTATATTTTTATCTTAGTACGAGGGCATTTTAATGACACCATTTACCGGTAGATCATATAAAAACTAATAATAGCTGATGATTAATTTTTTTTTTATGGTTTTCGACCAAAAATTATATTTTAGTAGACAAAAAAAAAACTATTGATGAATTAATTAACTTTTGATAAGCTTAATACCTAGAATGAATAATTATATAATACAATACACTATGTCATCTGAATCACCTCGTCTGTGCTTCAAATGAACAAGTTTTTGCTAGCTTAGACAGCTCACATAGTCCAAAAAAAACAATTCTGTTCATAGATTTGGAATGATTTGCAAGAAGGGTTTTTTCTTTACAAACCTGGGAGGTGAAAATGGTAGAAAAATTTCAAATTATTTTTTTATTTAAAGTTTTTGAGTTACATTTTTTTTTTTTTTTTCATCTGGAAAATTAGTTTTTTTTTTTAACAAATATGTTTTTTCTGTCATTTTCCTTTAGGATTTGTTGTCTCATTAATCAACTTCCCCCCCCCCCCAATGCACATGGCTCTAATGGTGAACACTTTACATTAACAACCATAGCACTATGCTACCCATAATGCACTGTATGCTACCCGAATGCACCCTGTTCTACCTATAATGCACTGTATGTTACCCATAATACACTTTATGCTACCCCATAATGCACCGTATACTTCTCATAATGCACTTTATGCTACCCACAATGCATTGAGTTCCAATTGTGTGGTCTTCATGTTGATAACTGTCCGTACTAGACAGTCAACTATTTTTCACAATATATACCATGCATAACTTTTTCTATATCTTTTCAAAAATTTAGAAAATACAAAATTGTAACCATTTCATTCAAAGTTACAAATGGGAAAAAAATAATAAATAATACAAAAAATGTAATAAATAAATAAAAATGTACACAGTTTTGTACCATTTTTTTTAGAGGGGGTTTGAAATGAAAAACATTCTTATTTCAGGAAAAAACACATTTTTAACATCCAGTGTTCAGTTGAATGTACTAAAAATTATTGTTCTAGCTCATTGACCTCATGTAATTAGCATAACCTCGTTATAATTGCTCTTTGAATTATTCCTATAGCAAATGAGATGTGACAGATGGTTCATATTTGACTGCAATTTTTATATGAACCATATTGACTCACAATTTTAGGAAATTAGATCTATATAATTAAATTGATGCATGTTAACTTACTAGTCCTGACAGTCAGGCTGGTACTGCTATGCTAAATTACTAGTACTAACAATCACAGACTAGTACTGATATGCTAAATTACTAGTACTAAC